GGGTTTTGCTGCCTCAGGAGAAATCATAAGTGATGCACAGAATGCACAACTTCATACAACAAAGAGAGATTGCAAGGTCCTTGCAGCTAGTCAAAGCTAAACACGATGCCTTTCTAAGAGGGAACAGGTGTTTTTTTTTTCTCTCTCTCTCCAGTAACAGGGAATCCCGAATTCACCGCTGCAGCAACTGCTTGGGAATCAGTGGAGGTACACCTGGGAAGAGCTTGGCTCAAGGACTTGTACTGTGTTGTGAATAGGTTCTGTGGCACCCAATCATCGCTTTAATAACAAAATTGCTTCTTGTTCTAGGGAACGGTGTCGGTGACCCGAGCTCGGCAGCATGGCAGCTTTCAATCATACCTCAGCCAGCCCTGCAGTATTCCTCCTGGTGGGCATCCCAGGGCTGGAACAAGCACACGGCTGGCTCGCCATCCCTTTGTGCTCCTTGTATATTGTGGCAGTCCTGGGGAACTGCACCATCCTGTTCATTATACGGGCGGATCCAAGCCTCCACCAGCCCATGTACTATTTTCTGAGCATGCTGGCCCTCAGCGACCTGGGCCTGTCAGCTTCCACGCTGCCCACAATGCTAAGCGTCTTCCTGCTTAATTCCAGGAAGGTTAATGCCGATGCTTGCTTCGCCCAGCTGTACTTCATCCACACCTTCTCTGTCATGGAGTCAGCCGTGTTGCTGGCCATGGCCTTTGACCGCTTTGTGGCCATTCACAAGCCCCTGAGATACTCCTCAATCTTAACCAATGCCACTGTTGCCAGGATAGGGCTGGCTTTCATGGCGAGGAGCGTGCTCATGGTAATGCCAATCCCTGTTCTCCTCTGGAGACTGCGGTATTGTCTTCCCAATGTTCTCTCCCACTCCTTCTGCCTGCACCAGGATGTCATAAAACTGGCCTGCTCCAACAGGATGATCAACAGCATCTATGGCTTGTTTGTGGTCATCACCACGATGGGCTTAGATGCGCTGCTCATTGTCCTATCCTATGTCATGATCATTACGATTGTGTTGAGCATTGTGTCCAAGGAGGAGCGCCTCAAGGCTCTGAACACCTGCGTCTCCCACATCTGTGCTGTCTTGATCTTCTACATCCCCATGATTGGCATCTCCATGATCCATCGTTTTGAGGAACGTGCCTCTCCCCTCGTCCCCGTCCTCATGGCCGATGTCTATGTGCTGGTCCCACCAGTGATGAACCCCATCGTGTACAGCGTGAAGACCAAGCAGATCCGCAGGAGGATAGCCCAGAGGTTCCAGAGGAAGACGATCCCAAATGAAGACTGACGGGGCTTGGTCACACTGGCTCTGCATCTGTGCCATCATTCACACCTGTGTCAAATGCATCCCTTTAGATCTGGTAGCATTTGCACCCACTTTGCACAGGTTTTTAAGGCATCATGAGGTGCGAGGCTGCGGCAGAGTCAGGCCCATCGTCCAATGGGATTCTCCATCAAAGGCAAATGGGGAAAACAATGTAAAGATTTCCCAGAGGTTAGCCGCTGGATGGCCCTAGGTAGAGAACAGCTGCTATGCTCCCCACTCACCGTCCAACTCCCCCTAACTTCAGTAAAGTTATTCTGAGATACTTGCTATGATGCCAGCCTGACAGTTGCTTCACTTCTTGCCTCAAACTCATGTGCAGAATTTCTAAGTGTGGTTAAACAGCTGCCACAGGCATCCCACCCAGTGGTGCACGTGGAGAGGCAGTGTGACCTAGCAGACAGAGCATCGGATAAGACTTGGGTTCTAATCCTGGCTCTGCCCCTGGTCTGTTGGGTGACCTTGGCCAAGTATCTTCATCACCCCGTACCTCAGTTTCCCCATATGTAAAACGAGGCTGCTGACACTGACTGCCTTTTAAAGCACTTTGAGATGTACTGATGACAAGTGCTAGGTATTATTAAGCGCTGAGTGAGTGATCCCTGTATAGCCAGCTGCTGTGTCCCATCCCACTCCAGGCCCGTACAGCTGGGGCACGGCTTCAGTGTGGCCAAATGCACCAGATACCTCCAAGGGCCTATTTTAGCCTGTAAGCACATCATGTCCTGCTTTGTGTCCTTCACATCCCAGGTACGCTGGCAAAGACTGAAAAATAATAATAACTCCTGACCTGAACCCAGAACAGTCGAGTGAGCTCGATCTTTTATTATTTCATTTCAACTCTGCAGAATTACCGCATGGAAATCCCAGCCACCTGCAAAGGGATGGGATGTTTTTACATGTGACAGCACCAAAAGTAGAAAATTTCTGATCTCTTTAAGTTCCGTGTCATAACTTTCTGCTACTGTCCAGCAGCTGGGAAGAGGAAGGATGGTCTTGTGGGTAAGGCAAAGTCTCAGCATTTAGGCAACCCATGTTTAATTCCCAGCTCTGGCACAGAGTGCCTGCGTGGCCTTGGATGATCATTTAATCTCTTTTTGCTTGCCGGCAGGGAGCACGGTGATGGGGGCTGGGACAGGCCTCAGTTGGGAAATCTCCAGGTGGGCCTGCTTTCCGTCATTGTCCTTTTGGGGGTCACTGGATACTGGTCACTATAAGTGACTTGATGCGGGTTTAGATGGGCCATTGGTCTCGTCCATGTCGGTAATTCCTATGTTTGGCTTAATAAAATCTTCCCCCTTCTTTTTCCCTTGTGTTGTCATGTGGCAAAAAAGGAAAAATTCATAGTGAGTTGCCCCTTAAATGGTGTGTAGGATCAAAGGCTAGGCTTCCAAGGCTGTGCATGTGCAAATGCTGAAGCCCAGCGGCACACGCGTTATTTACTCATATTTCTGATGTTGCCCTTATGACATGTATTGACTATTAAAAAAGAACGTGAACATCGACTGGTTCTAATATTCAGACAAAACTGTTGTGAACATCAGAGAACAAAAGCTTGCCTTGCCTTTGTGTGGCTACATCCCATCAGACTCTGCGGGTGGTGTTATCTGTGGTCAGACATGGCCGGGGAGGCACCCAGCTTATTCAAGACATTGCTGCTCACGTCAGCCTCCTCCCACCTGCTCCAAACCCATTGATTCTCCCTGCCCCCTTTAACCTCCCATCAGCTCCCACCTCAGAGCCCAGCTCAATTCTATGCCTTATATAAGATTTACACAGGGCAGGAATGCTCTGTTTCCCAGTTTGAGCTCCACGCCCTATTTTTGGAAAAATACTAGCAGGCCAAGATGGGGTCCAGTACCAGGTGATATGATCACATGAAGCTGCAGTATCAAAACAGCATCCCAGGAAGCTTCTCAGGAAGGTGGGAGATTAGCATGTTCAAACTCCTATTGTTCTCCCTAATGGCCCATCCAGGCTGATTGCATAATATCTGGTGGGTGTTCTCCAGGTGTAAACACAGTTTTAATTGTTACCTAGTCAATATTCCTAACTTCAGAGACAGAAATGATACGTACATACAAATAGGATAATCATAGTCAGTAAATCATAATCTTTCCAATGATAGCTTATATGATTCATCTTGCATAAAATACATCCTAGATATGCTATAATCATCTTATAACAATATTTCTATGGGAAGTAGTCACACCCTAATTTTAGGGTCTCATGTGGCTCCCTAGTGAGACAATCATAGCACATTGAATGTATATATCTTCCCACCACTGCTGTGAGAGAGGACAGGGTTATTACCCACCTGTGCAGAGGCTCAGAGACAGCCAATGGTGCATGGTCACAGAGGGGAAAGGAATCAAACCCAGCTCTGTTGAGTCACAGCACAATGGACAGACCACAGGCAGCATTCCAGCCATCTGAGCGGTGACAGGCCTGGATGGACTCAGCGAGCAGGGAAAGCAAGGAGCTAGTTACAGAGGTTTGATTCACTGGCCTGTTCTCCCCCTGCCTCAGCAGAGTTTAGAGCAGTCTGGGGGTTGGGTGGAATTCCACCCAGCGGTAACAGCTTCCAAGAGCCTGGCACACTCTGGCCAAGTCCCTGCACACAGGGGCCACCCCAGTGTGACTCCTTGTGGTCTGAGGTAGCCCTGCAGGTGTCCTGCCCTTCCCTCTAAGGTCCTTGCAATAACTGACTCTCAGCCTGGGATACTAAAAACAAGAGCCCCCTTTGTGGGGTCACATTTATTCAGTCTATTCCAAAACAAAGGTCTCCTAACCCCCAGTCCCACCCTCCTCCTTTACTCAAGAGACACCCACCATCCGGCTGGCTGGGGTCAGCATGGGTTCAGGCTTGCCACATCCCCTGCCCAATCTCTTCCCCTGACACCCTGACGCCTGTCCCCATCACTTCCTACTAGGCCCTTCCGCCTGCTCCTCCACTACCCCTGAGGGTCTCCTCCCCGGCCAGGCCAGAGCTGTGCTGTGATAAGAGCTGCCCTGGAAGCCCAGGCCTCTGTGGGGAGCCTCGAACTCTACAACTTCCCTAAGGGGATGCATCCTGGGGGGCAGAGTCACAGCCTGGGGGCTGCTCTCGGGGCCCCCAGCCACTTGCCTATGGCAGGAGGAGGGTCTGGGGCTCCATACAGTGGCTCTGGCTCCCTGGGCAGCTCTTAGGGCAGCTAGTCTCTGGCCTTGGGCCTGGAGAGGGGGCGGAGCTCAGATAAAGAGGAGGAGCAGGAGGTGGGGCTTGGGGGAAAGGATGGGGCAGAGGAAGGGGCCTCAGGGGAAGAGGAGGAGCAGGAATGGGGTCAATGCGGGGATGTGGATCCTGCATATGATCTGCTTTTGCTTTTGAAAAGGTGGTCACCCTACTCTGAATGGGCTGGGCTGGGATAGGAGCTAGCTGGGCCGCTGTGGGGGAGTTGAGGACCATTTCAACCCTGCAGCAGGGCAAACGGAGGGGAGGAGAAGGAGGGAATCTGGGCCTTAGTCTCTTACCAGGACTCCTGTGTGTCAGACCCTCACTCACATGCTCAGCTCTGCCTACATGAGTAGTGGGTTCAGCAGGTGTGCTGCGTGCAGAGCCACAAACAGAGTGTGTGTGGGGGGGAGGGGCGGCGGTGTGAATGGCTTCTCCTGGGCTGCTGGTGTTAATCATGTCTCTGACATGACTCAGTCATTAGGACTTGGCTAAGGGGGTAAGGGGAGGGTGGGTGTCTGTGCCCCTTGAATAGCCCCTGTCCACAGCTGATGCAGCCCCATGGATCACGCAGCATCCAGAGCGCTCAGGAAGGGCCAGGACTGAAACTGCCAAAGAAGCTCGGCACCTTTTTTCGTGGCCCCTGGATATTTAACCAGAGACAGGCCAGTGATGGGCCAGTTATAATGCGAAACAACATCCACATCCCGTCTCCTTATTGACTGTATCGAGACTGCTCCAACCGCCGACACAGCTCTTTATGGGCCAACACCCCACCATTTCCAGTCACTCCAGGAACACAGTAATTTTGTAAATGCTGCTGTCTGCCTTGGTCACCTTCCCCCAGTGCACTGTCCTCCCTCACCAGGAAGCAGGAACAGCCCCTATCCCATTATTCCAGGCCTTAGATCCTGCCTGAGCCTCTCTCTGCAGAGTGGAGATCAATTGCTTATGTCATCTCGGATGTAAGGGTCCAGGACGGAATAGGTGGCCCCTGGTTTTCATCTGCCATGTAACCAGTGCTGGCCCCGGGTGATGAACTGACCCATCACTTGACAAACACCCTGATTATCCTCGCACGAAGGTGTTTGCTTTTCACGCTGTACACAATTGGATTCATCAGAGGCGGGACCAGCAGGTAGATGTAGCCCAGGAGAATCTGAAGCAATGGAGGAGAGCCCTTCCCGAATCTGTGTAACACAGACAAACCGATCTCTGGTGTGTAAAAGAGCACAACAGCACAGAGGTGGGAGACACAGGTGTTCAGGGCCCTCAGGCACTCTGTCGGGGATGCGACTTTCAGCACTGTTTTGAGGATCATCACATAAGAGAGGAAGATGAGCAGCGAGTCCAACCCCACCATTAAGAGCGTAATAAACAAGCCATAGATGCTGTTGATTGTGATATCTGAACAAGCCAGCTTCATGACCTCCTGGTTCAGGCAGTAGGAATGGGAGAGGACATTGGCTCGACAGTATCGGAACCGCTTCAAGAGAAAGGGGAGTGGGAATGTTAGGACAAACCCTCTTAACCCAAACACCAGTCCCATCTTGGCTATTCTTGGAAGAGTTAAGATGGAAGCATATCTCAGTGGGTTAGAGATCGCGACAAAGCGGTCAAAGGCCATCAACAAGAGAATGGAGGATTCAATGAATGACAGGGAGTGGATGAAGAACAGCTGGGCAAAACAGGCATCCAGGCTGATCTCCCTAGAGTTAAACAAATATATGCCCAGTATCGTCGGTATGGTGGTTATCGATATGCCAAGGTCTGTGATAGCCAACATGGAAAGGAAAATGTACATGGGCTCATGGAGGGTTGGATCTGTTTTTATAATGAACAGAATGACTGAATTTCCTATTATTGAAATAATATACACTAAGCAGAAGGGGATAGAGATCCAGAGATGGACGTCTTCCTGCCCAGGTAGCCCGGTCAGTAGGAACACTGCAGAGTTGAAGTTGGTGTCATTGACAGCTGACATAATGTACTGGGCAGGTCCCAGGAATTTTGAACTCTCCTTCCTAAAAGGAAAAAGAACAGGAGACTAGTTGATATTTAAGGAGACATTTTTCTGCTTTCAGTGGAAATCTGGAGACTCCCAGGAGTTCAAGGAAGATCAGCAAATACATAGTCTTGGATTTGCAGCAACAACAGAAAGATAGGCATTGCCAGACTGGATCAGACCTGCAGTCCATCGAGCCCAGTATCCAGTGGCCAACTCCAGATGTTTCAGTGGACGGTGGAAGAAACCCTGCAATAGGCAGCTCTAAGGGAAAATTTTCCACTGGCACCCACTAGTTAGACATATTTTTGACATAAACCAGGAAGGTTTAGAGCCCTAACAAGACTTTTTTTTTTAAAAAGTCTCACTACTGTGATTGGAATTTCCATATAATTAGCCCGTCACTCTTTGAATTCTGTTAAGCTCGTGACCCCTGTGATATCTTTTGACTGTGAGTTCCACAGCCTATTTGAGCACTGTGTGATTTTACAATTGAGACCCTCATACACACACCCTTTCTGGCCCTCCACTTCTGTGTCTGGCCCTTTGTATCATGGCATGTGGGTAAAAGCATGGCAACTGCATGGTGAAAATGGTATTTATGTGTCCTACATTCAAGCTATTTATAAATGTGTTTCATTGCCTCATTACACACACACACACACACACACACACACACACACACACACACACACACACACACACACATAAAATATAATTTTCTCCTCTCCTGAGAGTTTAAATG